AAATCAATCACTAATTACTTTGATATTGTTAAATTTTTTAAAAATAATATAATTTAAAAAATTTGATTTAAGTATTGTATTTTTTTTAATTACTACTATATATGAATAAGTTATATATTAATAAATAGATATATATATTATATATTATTAATTTAATATATTTCTTCTCAAACTGTCTATAATAATTGATAATATAATACTAATGAAATACAAAGACTATCAATTTATAGAAATATTCTAGTTATTTTTACTTTATAATTTTGATTTTTCTACTAATTTCTCTTGCATATTTAACTCTTCTAATAGTATTTTATATTTACAATTCATAATAATGAATTACTTTTTTTTCAAAGTAAGAGTTACTAGTTTTGGATTTGCTTTTAAAGTTTTATATAGCCTTTATGACTAATATTACAATATGTATTTTCTATGTAATTTGTACTCTAATATTTTTTAATTATAGATTCGTGATATTCTTCATAAATATATTTCTAATCAACATAAATAAGCTGATCACAACTATAATATATTGTAATATTTACTTTAAAAATACTGCCAAAATCATCTTCTCATAAATATATCATCTTTCTAATAACCATATATTGCTTATAATAATTAACTAATTTATTATTATTTCTATAATTCACTAATTGATTTCAGATTTATTTCTTTTAATTAGATGAAATTTCTCTATTACAAATTACTAGAAATTAATAATTATTCCTTCACTTAATATCATTTAAAACTGAATAATTATTTATATAAATCATATTTAATAATTTAATGTATTATAGTATTTTAGATGATTATATTGTATATAGGATTATTAAACTTATTAGATTTAATATGATATATATAATTAAAACCAGATTCATTTTTTGTATATTCAAAATAACTTATATTAAAGATTTGATAATATATAAAATAGCTGAATTATGTGAAAAATTATCTTAATATATTGGCTTTAAACCTGAAGAAATTTGTCTTCTAATCACAGAAAAAAATAAATAACTTTTTTAGGAATTAATAACAGATCAAGAGGAGATGACAAATATTATAATGAATGAGTATAGATTTTTGCAATATCATGGATATAATTTTAAAGATGGGAAATTAATATATATAATGTGGATATATATATATACTGAAAAAGATGTTGAAAAAGTATTAATAGAAGTATCTTCATCAAAGATATTGTCAAGAAAGATTCTGACACATATTGAAAAAAGATTTGAAGGATCTACCACTTGCACCAGTTGTTATATTTGATTAGAGTAAGGTCTGGAAAAAAATATATTATATAATATTAAGTCAATGTTACATAAGTGTAAGAAATGACTATCTATGCTTTCACCATCACTATTTAGATTGAATTTTGATAAGCCTCCTAGCATTTGAGACGATAGGTTTTTGTATTGACATAATCCCCACTATCCTATTCACCCTCTATAATAAATCTTATATTTTCTTTTTTATGATCTTTATTGCATATAAGGCAGGAAACTGAACTATTAAAAAAAAATAATCATGATTTTTATTGCTATACTTTGAAGATAAATAAGGAACTGCTCTAGCACTTTATTAATAACAGACTTTCGCTTCTCTTCTGAATCATCAGGTAAAATAAAGATAGGAGGTCGGGATTTGTTAGATATATTTACATAGAATGGGGATGGTACACTTGCTTCAGTATTTGGTAATTTTTCTGAATCAGTAGAAATAGATTCAGTAGATGTATTTACCTCAACTTCTGGTAATTTCGAATCTTTATCATTTTCTTGGGATGAATCTATTGCAGAACAATGACCCTTTGGGTCTAAAAAAATCGATTCAGTAGATATACTTACCTCTATTTCGGATAAATTATCTGAAGAATTATTAGGTAAATTTTTTTTGGGACATAAATGTCTCAGAAATTTCAGTCACATGATCTGTTACCGGAGGTATTTTTTCCAAAGATATTCCATAATCTATAATCTCTTGAATTTGTTCACTAGTAAGCTCTGAAATAGAAGTTGCACTATAGGATTTAATATATCTGATTTTATCTATGTTCACTTGTTCGAAAAATTTATATACTTTCTCAACTCTTTGAATTTTCTTGCGTAAACTATCTCGAAGTTGTAACCCTAATTCTTGAGATCTTTATTTGCGAATTAAATTAAGCTGTTTTGTAATTGAATCATACAACAAACTTCTTGCCTTCTTTTCACCAAATTTACCTTCACTATTTTCTATAATTCCATTAAGCTGAATTCTGAAATCCTTCGCATAGAGACACCAACATAAAATTTCTTCCTGATTAGCTCTATTTGCTTTATCTTCAGCATCAAAAGCTTTATTACATAACTGGGCTAAATGTTGTGATGCCTCATCAATGCTAGATATGTTACTAGAGGTAATTTTTCCAGGACATAATGTCTCAGAAATTTTGCTCACAAGATTTTGTTCTATTGATTGTTCCTGTGATGTTTCCGGGGTGAACAATTCATGTTTAAGCTTGTCTAATCCCTTACCTTTTTTATGATCCACTCCCGTTTTCTTACATATATTACCAGCTCGTCTTGGGAAATAATTTCATTATTATCTGAATTAGAAGATTCCGGAATATTTGTAGCTGATGCTTCGGATATTGCGCTATTGCATGGTTGAGTAACCGAGTTGAGATCTTGAGCTTGAAGTTTCTTTTCCTGATTTCTTTGCTTAATTGCGCCGCTAACCTTTTTCTTATGCACCTCATTCAAGAAAGCATCCATTTCCTTATCTTCTGATGACTTGTTGTTGGTATTATCACAGGTAACTGCTCTTCCAACTTTATTATTGAGATTCTCTACTACGGAATCAGATACATCAACAACTGATACCGTTATCTCTGGAATATCGTGTCCAGTTACCTCGGTAACACCCTGTTCCGATATCGCGAGTCTGGCCTCAAGCTCTGTATTCTTTTGCTCTAGTTCTTCAACTCTAACGTCGCGCTTTGTATTCTCCTCAATAATCTGCTTCAACTTTGTATTCTCCTTTCTAAGCTCGGCAACCTCGGCTACAAGCTTGGAATTCAATTCCTTCAATGAATCGATTTTAGATTGAGTGTTCGACATTACTTTATATAAAAAGCGCATTCATTCAAAAGCTTGTTTATTAATATAACTCATACATATAATAAGTCACATGATACAAAACCGTTCCCTTGGGGAACGATCAGAGATACGTGAAAAAATTCTCAATCATATACGCATTATATTGTTAGCAAATATATCAGCGGAGCTGGCATTATTGTTATTATTGTTATCGTCATCATCACCACTGCCATTGTCATAATTATTATCTTCGAAAAAATAAAAATCATCATGTCGTGATGGGCCGTGATCGATACGTGATTATTACATGAATAGAAATGCGATTGAAATCTTTATTATATATAATACTTTTTGGATCATAAAAATGTTATTTCTTGTATCGTGCAGGTAAACCTTTCTTTGCGCTCTCTACATCTTTTAACGTAATACATGAATATAATACGAGATAAATATTAGGCCCTTATCGCTAAATACATTAAATTAGATATAAGATGAGACTTTATCTCGCCTGCACATACCTATATTCGTTCTTCTATGATTTTTTGGTTTCGCCACGTTATCTCCAGAACTTAGCGTCGGAGGAAGATATTTTGGTGATGGTTCACCCCCGTCGCTATCACCCCAGTCCAACTCATAATCGGCAAAAAGAGAGCCAAATTTCCGTTTTTGTTTGATTACGGTGTTATGGATATAAAATACGACGCTGTGCCGAACTCCAGCGATAACCGGGAGATTTCCATGAATCAAGAGGTTAGACCGAAAAGCTACTGCTTGTCCTTGCTTAACATGAACGACTAACTTCAACTCCGGAAATACCAATTCTCCTCCTTCAAAATTCCCAAGTGGGCACACAACACAAAGCGTATTTCGATGGTCTTTCAAATCTCGATGGAATTGGCAGATAGTATTAAAGTTGATGGATATACTGGGGAAGGCTCCGAAGGATCTAGGGGCATTGGGTCCAAGATCGAGTTTCTTCATTTTGGCGTATAGGATTGGGTATGTTTTATCAAGATAGTCGTTAATTGCATTAGAGATGGGTTGAAGTCCTTTGATTAATTCCTGAACGCACGTTTGATGTTCCCTGCAATGGGTGGAAGCGGTGTTTATGGTGGTATATGGCTCGTTATTACTGTCGGTAAAACAGCCAAAATATTCTATTAGATCCTTTGAAAATTGTTTGGATTGATGAGATGGGTTATTGAGGTTATGGTTATAATACCAATCCACTGCTACTCGTGCAGATTTTGCAACTAAGAGGTCGGTTAGATCAAAAAAATCAATTATCGTCTCTCCAAAAGCATTTTCAAAGCATTGTGGTTCTCGAATATATTTATACCCATCGAGGCGAACACCACCCACTACCTTTTCCGTCGTTTCTTTAGCAATAAAAAGCTTATCTTTCGGATGTCGTTGTAGGGTCTCTGGGATAATATCTAGCTCTAGACTATTTTTATAGGCTTCATGGTGTTGATATACGTGTAATACTTTACGCCAAAGACGACGGCAATGATCGTGGAATTTTTTATAAAACCGATTATCAGAGGTTGAGAAGCAAGCCCACGACGCAAATTCTTTCCACAACTGCAGATTTGCTGGATTTGGATGGTTGTTGCAATATATCGAATTTTTGTCTCCCAATTCGCCTTTAGTTTTGCTAAAGATCTCGGATTGTAATAAATGCAGGAATTTTGTTGTACTTCGGAAGTAGTCGGAATAACTTGGATGGTTTGTGGTGGTAAGGATTTGCTAGAGCCCGAATTCGCACTTTTGTTAATTTTACACAATTCATCATGGGTGGCATTTGCTATAATTTCCAAATCGTGGTTCGAAAGATTTTCTAAATTGAGTGTGAAAGTGTTAGCTTTTACAGTACTGGGGGGAAGTAGCCCACGATTTAACAACATCTTAACAATTCGTCTTTGCTGTCTTTTTATCCTAAGCTTCTCAAGAAAGGTAAACTCCATATTCACAATGATAGTTTTCGAAGAATTAATCGACTTAAGATCACTGGCGAGGAAATCTTCCGAGATCCATTGAGATTCAATGTATTGTCGAGATTGACTCTTAGTAGATAAGCGCGTTTCGAGTTGAATTTTGTGCTGAAAACGAAATATTATATAAATTAGCTTGACTAGTCAAGTTTCGAAGAAATAACGATTATTTTTCGGCGAGAGCCAGATATAAATGTAGTAAAGAAATTGGTTTTTCTTGGTGGATACTTGTAGTGTAGCTCGGCGATTCTCAATACACAGACATAGTCTGATAAGAGAACCATGAAAGTCTACCGAAACTTCTACGCTTCACATACGACTACTGACCACACCCAAGAAGGTATCAGTGGAGCTGGCATGGCTAAAAGATTGGAAAAAAATATACAGTGGAGCTTTTTCACACTAGGGAGGGAACAGACGGGTCCTAGGCCTGCCTCGAAAGGCGATGACTGCCCCTAAACCCCACTTCATATTATCGTGCAATAAAAAATATCCCGCCTTCTCGTGACTTCATCACTCGAAGCCAGAAAAATATGCTATATTATATATTGATTGTATCTGGATCTGGATTGCATATATCTTTTATACTCACTTTTTTTGGGTCGTAGAGTATCTCTGGTCTTTCGTCGTCCGCTTGGTTGTTGGTAGAATCGGGTGCAATGCCTTGGTCGTCGGAATCGGGTGTGGTGGATCCTTCGTCAATTGATTGGTTAGTGGGTCCTGCAAGCCTTGCTTTCTTTATGCGTCGTTGCTCCTTCCTTCGTAGATTCCGTTTTGTGGATTTCGATAACACTGGTACGTTTCGTTTACTGGTAGAAGCATCCATTGCTTCTTTATAACAATCTGGAATATACTGTAACTCTAGTGTATTAATTAATAGGAGAAAAAGACAAAAGCAACACAATTCGACGAGCCGTTAGAAATAAAATTCCTAGAGCCGAGTCTTACTCAAGAAGAATAGCGTATACTTTCGCGGAAAAAGAAGCGTGGGAAGAGGGTAAGTAACCGGTAAAAGGGATATATATATGATGATCGTCTTAAACGTATCACGAATTGCTGATATATTAATTGATCGAATAATTAACCAATACATGCATCTGAATTTCGGCAATTATCCCGTCACGCTCGGCACTAACGCTATAGGTATAACACGATCATAAGTGAACATTCGCCAGCGAAACCAAAAGATAACGAAGAAAAATTATTCAGCACGTACACACAAATTAAAAGGTCAAATCATATCTTTATTATTTTTTGTAAAACGAGAGAGTAAGAGACCGGCTAAGTAAAAATGATAGAGAAGCGGAATTTAAAGGGAGGAATAAAGCATAAAATATGCCTGCCGGCCTTTTAAAAATTTAGTATACAATGTTAATGGCAAAATTAACTATAGATATTGCTAAAGAAATTGCACATAGTAGAGTCTCTCTGAACAATATATTAATAATAATACTCTGATGCTTGGAAATGCATTAAAAACCATGAATGGTCTGCTAAGCTTCATAGTATAAAAAATCATAATACCTGGTGCCCAAAGTGTGCTATTGGAAATCGTCGTACTCGAACGATTGAAGATATGAGGAAGTTTGCAGAAAAAAAGGGAGGTTTTTGCCTTGCAACTGAGTATATTAATAGACGGGATCCTCTCGAATGGCAGTGTAAAGAAGACCATGAATGGAAGGCTTCGGCTATCCTTAAGGGAACTTGGTGTCCAAGATGTAGTACACCAGGCCGAAAACGTATTCCAGTCCAAAGTCATGTTACACCAGAGCAAAAATGCCAAAGACAGGGTCAACCACGATACAATATTGATATAGCAAAAAATATTGCACAAGAACGAGGTGGTAAATGCCTTTCTACAGAATATATTAATGCAACTACTCCAATGTTTTGGAGATGCATCAAAGGCCATGAATGGTCTACAACTCTTTATCGAATAAAAAATATGGGAAGATGGTGCTCACAATGTGCTGGTAATTTTCCTTGTGGTCTTATGGAAGCTAAGGAAATTGCTTACAGTAGAGGAGGTATGTGTCTTTCTACAAAATACATAAATCTCTGTGTTCCAATGCAATGGATGTGTAATAAAGGTCATAAATGGTTCACAAGTTTCAATTGTATAAAGCATTCTAAAACATGGTGCCCATATTGCTTAAATAAACATGAAAACTTATGTCGCGAAATCATAACGAATATTCTTGGCCCTCATTCTGACATTCGCAAACCAGATTTCTTGAAAACATCAGAGTATCCTCGTGGACTAGAGCTCGACATCTACTATCCGCAGTATGGATTTGCCATAGAGGTACAAGGCAAACAACATGAACAACACGTAAAATATTTTCACAAAATTGAAGAAGACTTTAGGGAGCAATTAATACGTGATCAGATCAAAAAAGAACTCTGCGAAGAAAATTGGATTGTTCTAAGATATGTTTGGTATTATGAGGACCCATATCTAGTCATTCCAAATCACCTTCGAGAGCTAGGACTCATTGAATAAACTCAAAACTTTAAATACTCCATAATCATTACGCGTGTTATTTTTATTGGTATACATTAAAGAATAATTTATAAAATGCCGGAGATACATGATGACTCTATCTGAAAATTG